AGGGGCAGGAAAGGGGTTGAGGCTTCTTCACATTTCATTCTGCACTTGTCTAAATTTCCGAGTCATACACACAGCACTGTTTAAAAACGTCATTGGGGTTATCTGGGTGGTGGGGTTTTCCTTTATTTTTCTCTATACCAAAAAAGAATTATAATCTTAACACCTTATAACTAAAATATATGTACTATATTTTAAAGGTCCCTACAAATTAAACACTGGAGGTCAGGTCCCTGGGCTAACTCCAGCACCTTACTCTGGATTCTGCTTAGCACACAACCCCGACCTCCACTCAAACCTCCTGCGGAAAAGACCGTTAAGAGCTCCAACCTGGAATACCCAAATAGATCCCCAGTTACTCTTAGCACAAGATTAGGGATTGCCCCACCTTTGCACTCCCAGCTGCTGCAGGGTGGGGCTGGGCAGAAAGTAAAACAGAGCCCCAGGGAGCTCAAAGTCAAGGAGAGAGGACTTGGGCCCTGCGTCGGGTAAATCCCAGGGATACTTCCTGGACCTTAGGTGGGCTTATGTCCCCCAGTCGCCTCCTGCAGCCGGACTTCCCTCATTACCACCCCTCACCCCATGCTGAGCACAAATGAAAATATTTTAAGGACTTATGCTTTACAACCAAATCAACAGTGCCAACCACTGGAGCTCATCGGGACCGCACTCTGGGCATTTGCTGGCAATCCTCAAGAACCGTGTCATGGAAATTCAAAACAAAACAGCACGAATGTCAACCTCTCCACAGGCTCACCCTCGTTACTCACAATTTTATATCTTGAGCTTCCTTATGCATAATCTCCAGAATAGACTTACAAGCCGCAGAGGTGCCTTCAGGGGTAGAAAGGATAGTAATGGACTTCTCAGCAGCGCCTGCATTCTCTTTACGATGGACATCGATTCTTGGGGTGGGCACAGGAGAGAGAAAACGAGAGCTGTGAGCTCGTGTTCACACAGAGTTTACAATGACCAACCCCCAAGTCAGGGCTTCTGGGCAGAGAGGATGAGTCACTTCCCTCAAGAGCATAAGCTCCTGATAACTGTCAAGGGGATGCCTAGGAGATGAATTTTAACTCTCTCCTCTCTCTCCTGAATCTGACCAAGCAGGGACATCGTTTCATTCTGCCCCGGCTGTATCTGCTTCAAGCTTCCTTTCTGATGGCCAAGAACAAATATCTCACGTCAAAGAGCTTCGGTCTAGACAAAGGCTTTCTTCTGCTTAAAACAAACAGGAACTGCACAGCATGCCAAGAGGGCAGGAGCTGGAGTCCCACAGCCAGGTCCAACTCTTATTCCACACAGGCTTCTCTCTCTATTCATCGGACGACACATTTCACTGTTTCCTTTCGCAAAGCGCTTCCCACATTTTGCCTCCTTCATAGAGGAAAGTCCACAGCAAAACCCAAAGAGATGGCAATTCTACTTCAGAGAAACGCAAATGGTCAATTAATGCAAAATGTCAAACCTCACTAGTAATTATATACACCAATTAAAATAAGGTGTATTTTCTGCCAGACCTGCAAATATTTTGACAGATACAATAGCAAGAAGATGGGTAAACTGGGACAGCCACACTTTGGGTGGGAGTGCAGAACAAACTTGCAGGACCTATCCGAGGTAAAATGCTTATCACCTTTTCACTCGAGTTCTACTTCTTGTAACATCACAGATGTAGCCCCATGTGTGCGCCGAGAGTGGTGTTTTCACCTTGAGCCCTATTGACGTTTTGGGCCAGATCAATTCTTGGCTGTGGTGGCTGTCGGGTCCTGTATACTGCAGAGTGTTCAGGGGCATCCCTGGCCTCAACCCACTAGATACCTGTAGCACATTCCCTCTTCCAGCTGTGACAACCAAAGATGTCTCCAGACACTGCCAAATGTCCAGGAGGGGGTCGCCCCTGGGCGAAAACCACTAACACGGGAATAGTCACTGTAGCACTATTTGTAGTAGAAAGAAAATTAGGATTATCTTTAAAAGGCCTACCAGGAAGAGATGGTTAAAAAAGAGTATATCACAGATCTGTTTAAAAACATAGTATAATTACAGACACCAACACTGTAAGAGGTCCGTGACCATCCATGAAAAAATACAATACGCCCTAGCCAGTTTGGCTCAGTGGTTAGAGCGTTAGCCCGCAGGCGGAAGGGTCCAGGGTTCCATTCCCGTCAAGGGCACAGGCCTCTGTTGCAGGCTCGATCCCTGGCCCCCGTCGGGACACATGCAGGAGGCAACCAATCGATGTGTCTCTCTCACACTGATGTTCTTTCCCTCTCTCTTCCTCTCTCCCCCCTTCCCCTATACTCTCTCTGAAAAGCAACGGAAAAAATATCCTCGGGTGAGAATTAAAAATATATATAATACATACCATGATGAGATTTCTCCTTTAAGCTACACTTGTTAGTAGATACAAGGAACAAATCCTATAAAGATACACTCCCAACTTCACAACGGCTACAGCAGGAGGTGAGAGGAAGGGTAGCTCTTGTTTTTTTCATTTGCATACATGTACATTTTGAATTAAATGCAAAAATAAGTCTGCTGTTGTTGAAAAGGTACGAGAAAGAAAACCAACTATCCAAAAAACTGTGTTCAGAGAAAATGAGATATTTTTGAAGCCCTCTGGCCACTCAAACACTACAGACAAAGAGCTACTCAATCCCTCGCCATGAGAACGGCCACTTCATCTTGCCAATAAAATCGAGGTTTGGATTTCATTTTCCTAAACGTTGGTTTAAAATTGAAGACATATTTCAGAAGCAAAACCTATCACTAAAAATATGGGCAATGTAGAAATGAAACAAATAAGAGCTAACTAGAACTAACTAATTAAAAACAGTACCTCAGATAACAGTCCAACCTTAGGAACCACAATCCCAGGAACCATTTTTCCAGCCACTAGTTCAGAAATCCCCAGTCGCCCTAAGCATCCCTTATCTTCTAGAAGGCGAGATATGCTAAACTCCCTCCCCTTCCAGTTTGCTTCCAACATTCACTGTGTTGAGGATCACTAAACGCTGATCCTCGGAGAGAAGGGAACATTGCTCTCCAGATTGGGGGAACCCTCTGAGGCCGGTCCAGGAACACAGGACCTGGTCATGACTAGTTCGAAGACAAGAATTCAACTGGCAGAGCTCTGCAAATGAATCATCACATAAAACAAAACTCGCTTCCCTTCCCTCTCCATCCACTATCTTCCTGCCTTAGATAAGACAGGTCCATTTAAGCCACAGAAGCTTTTTTCCTCCGACAAGGACATGAGTAGCATTGAAAGGAGAAACTCTAATCTGCCAAGCGACCAGGAAGGAAAACCATTTCATAATTAGTTTCTGCAGGTAATGCTGAATCGAGGGAGGCAAGAGGCCCTTCAATTTAAAAATTAAAACCAGGCAAATTTAACACTAAAACTGATCGAGGCTATGGTTCAATTGTCTTCCCCACGCCCTACATTATGAGGTCAAGGCCACTCATTCTGCACAAAGGTACCCAACTCCAAACATCTCCTGCTTCAAAGCAGGGGAAGGCAGGGCGAGACGTCACTCTGCAGGCGGAGTGGCCCGCCACCGCCACCAACACAGTTCCCTGGTTCTGCAGGAGAGATCAGTCAGCTAACTCAATGCAGGCCTGGTGCCCGCGATGAATATGGAAATCCTCTGAGGCCTGTTGGAACAAACACGGCACCATAGCTGTACTCCCAGAAAGAGACTCTCCCCTTAGTTCCTTGGACCACATGAAATGAAATGAAATCCTTACTAAATTTAAAAAGCAAAATAATTCACAGCCACCTCTGTAGCTGGCTCAAGGCCATACCCCAGCCCCTTGGTGTAGAGTGACCCACCCAGGAGACGTCTGTACACAGCCGCTTCCCACTAGAGTACACTCAGCTCCTCAGGAAATACGGCAGCAGCCGTCCCAGAGATGTGCCCAGTAGCACCTCACAAAGCTAGGGTGGGGACAGGGTCCGCCAAGCTTCCTTGGGTCAAAAAGGCCACATGCAGCATCACAGAATGGTTAATAAGGCAAAGCAAGTAACATGCGATGCAGTGGAGCTACATTTCACTCATCTGCCAAGCACGAGAGCCTCCTACGTATCAGGCAACGTGCTCAGCACAGTGGTAGATCATAACACACAACGCCTGCTTTCTGCTCCTGAAAAATTAGCTCCAATGTTGGGCCAAGAATCTCCCAGTCCCTTAAAATCTGCAAGTTAAAACTCCCAACCAAGATCCTGAAGAAAGAGCCATTCTGACTACATGGTGCAATCAGATAAACTTGGACCACAGGCCAAATGATTCTTTACCCGAGTAAAGCAAGACTTAAGAACTTTCTCTGTATTGGACCCGGAAAATTACTTCCAAAAACAGAAAGGCAGGTATCGGCAGGGGTTTGGGGAGCAGTGAATAACCTAGAAGTTGCCCTTTAGTTCACCAGGTCCTCTCCCATCCCAAGGGGATTAAGTATCATTTGTTTTCCATTAATGTGTAAAAATGTGGGGTCCCCTTTGAGAGTAAGATTTAGTCCATTTTTATAAAATAAACACTAAGACATGAAAATCGCAAGGTTTTTCGGGATTCCCAAGTCCTAGAAGGGATCACGGCCACGTTCACAAGAACAAGCACCAGACAACGTACGTGGTTACTACGATGCGGGGGGACATTCCCGCCCACCGCGCGCTCGGGGTACTCACTTGGACTGGGTCTGTTTGGTGATGTTCCGAATGGTGGCGCCTTCTTTTCCTATGATGGCTCCAACGAACTGGGTGGGAACCAGCAGGCGGAGAGGCAGGTCGCAGGGCTTTTGCTTGGACCCCGATCCCGGAGAGCCCTGTCTCGAGGAGCCTCTCTGCCCAAACCCGCGGCGGCCTCGGGGCTGCTGGGCCGGGCTCTGCTGGGCGGCCATTTGGTCCGGGATGTAGGCCACTTTCAGCGTGAAGTTCTCCAGCTGGAACCCATTCAGTTTGTCTAAAGCTCTGGGAGCGCCAAAGGGCGAGGGGCGGAAAGAGAAACCGGCTCTGTAACAAACCTGCCGGCAAAGCAATGCCCATCTCTTCCACTCGGGACTGCTGGCTCGAAACGTGAATAAAGCCACAGAACACACTTCACACCCCACCCCAACACACGCGCACACGCACACAGAAGACCAACAAATTTCCCAAGGGAACATACTTGCCATCTACCAATGAAAGTAGGAAAAAAAATTAAAAATCATCAAACATTTTTACTGAGGTGTAGATGACACACAACATTACATCAGTGTCAGGTGCACTACATAAGGACTCGATAGTTGTACATATTGCGAAGTGATCACCATAGAAGTCTGGTTAACATCGTCACCATACATGGTTACAGAATATTTTTCTTGTGATGAGAATTTTAGGATCTACTCCCCTAGCAACTTTCAAATATGCAATACAGTACTGTGAACTACAGTCACCATGCTGCACAGGACATCCGCATGATTTACTTGTTTTATAAATAGAAGTTTGTACCTTTTGACTCCCTTCACCCATTACACACACACACACACACACACACACACACACACACACACTCTCTCTCTCTCTCTCTCTCTCTCTCTACCTCTGATGCCCACCAATCTGTTCTCTGAGTCTATAATCTTGTTTTTGTGTATGACTTTTTTTGAGGGAGAGATTCCACATATAAGTGAGATCACCTAGTATTTGTCTTTCTCTGTCTAACCTCTTCCTGACTTATTTCACTTAACATAATGTCCCCAAGGTCTATCCATGCTATTGCATATGTCAAGATTTCATTCCTTTTAATGGCTGAATACTATTCAATTTGTGTGTGTGTGTGTGTGTGTGTGTGTGTGTGTGTGTGTGTGTGTGTGTATAATATATACATCAGGTTTTCTTCATCCATTTACCCACTGATGGACACTTAAGTTGTTTCCATACCTTGGCTACTATAAATAATGCTGCAATTGAAACTCTTGATTAAGCTATTACCCAAGAGGTAATATTTGGGTAATGTTGACTATTACTCAAACAGCAAGGGAAGTGAGTGGGCAGTCCTTGTCCAGGCTAGTCTTTCTAAATCAGAAGGGAAAAGATGTTAGAAATACATACCCCCCTCATTTCATACTCTTAAAAAATATAAATATTAAAACACCTTAAGCATCAAAGGACAAATCTCTCTAAACCACTCACAGGAGATTGGTGGAATTTAATACTCAGGATAATCACGCCATAAGTTCTCAGTACCTATTATGAGCCAGTCGCTGAGAAAACAGCAGTCGCTGGCCTGGAGTTTGTGATCTGAACTGGGACAGAGAGGCCTGGGTGGTGATGAGCCAAAAAGGCAAATGAAACTATTTTCTACCTTATCTATCCACCCACCCACCTATCCATCTCTCTATTCTGAGAGGAGCTTTACTGTTTTATCGTTTTGAATGTTACTATGGAAAGTACCCAATCTTAAGAGTCTATCTCAATGAGTTTTCATAAGGTAAACATGCATATACCCAAATCCAGATAAACACATACCAGCGCCCCAGAAGCCCCACCAGTACCTCCCCTAAACTTCGAGCACCACAGATTGATTTTGCCTGTCTTAAAAATCTATATAAATAAGTATATATTAATATACATGTTATATAGTCACTCACGTCTGGCCTCTTTTACTTACCATGTTTATAAGATTTACCCATACTGTTGTTTTTAAAACTTACCTAAATATTTTAAAAGTGGAGAATTTAATAAAAAATTTGACAGAGAAGATATATCAAAAGCACACATAAACACACTCTTAATAATACACACTCCCAAGTACACAAAATTAAAAACAAATAAAGGTCCCACACTTTCCCTAACGTTACTCAGATTCTCTGTTCAGATTCTGTCCCAATGGGCTTTGAGGTCAGCCCAGGAAGGTGAAGAAAAACAGGCATGAGACGGTCTCTCTCTAGCTAGTGGTCATTTCAGGTTCCCATACTGCTTCCTTCACGTGGAGATCTTTCCATTTCTGACTTAGATGGAAACAGGAGGGTGGAAAACAGATGAGCCCACCACCAAAAAAGGGCACCAAAAGCATGGAGCTGGAACTCAGGCCGAGACAAGCAGACGGATGTTCTCGGGGCCCAGGAGCCTGCCCGCCCCTCTCACTTCACCCCCTCACATCACCACCCCGCAGTGCCTAGCGCACAGACGACCGCCTATCGCCAGAGATCCACGTCATACAGAAACGCGAAGCAGAGGATATTCCTGCACCATCGCCAAACCCTCCAAGAGCCTTCCCGGACTCACTGCTGACCTCGGGAACTTCTGCAAACAGGCAGGTTCTCTCCCTGGTCACATTCGCACGTTTGTGCGCAGTACCTAACCCAACTGGGATCATGATGCACGTGATTTTGTTCCGCTCCCCCCCCCCC